AGTACCTTTCTGCTTCAAGTTAAAGCTTGAAACTTTGCCAGGTACAAGTTAAGTGATGAAATGTTATATTGATTTAAAAAACTGAAAATCCTTAAAAATACGTTTTATACCCCTTTTTAAACGGACCTATTCAATTAGTGAATGAGTCACCCTTATCCAGCCCCACCCTAACCTTTCTGCAAACTAAAAGTAAACAATGGCGACGAAGAGCAGCAACTATTCCTCTCCTCCTTCTCTCTTCTCTTCTCCTTTGACTATTGGTAGGTAACATCCATTATAAGTACTAAATCTATAATGATTATTATTTAGAGCAACTTAATGATGTTGATGATCTATTGGAGAGATGTGGTTTCCCTCAGGCAAGATGGCATGAGCTTGGACTTAAACTAGGACTACACAAGTACACACTGGATGTTTTGGGAGCAGTTTTTTCTCGTGACATACCTCAATGCTTGACAGAGTGTCTCTCCAAGTGGCTGCGTAGAGCTGATAATGTTGACAGTAAAGGAGGAGCTACCTTTGACTCACTGTCAGATGCTCTTAAATCTATGAATGAGAATGCTGCAGCTGACAAATTAGATCAAGAGAGTAAGTTAATATCACTGATTGTATTAGTATTGACTGTGTGTGTGTATTCTATAGAACGTAATGCTATGATCAGTGGTAATGATATCAAAGGAACCAATGATGTACACAGTACTGCTACTGGTGAGTGTTACATTACTGTTACAATAATTGATTCATAGATTAGTATACCATATACAGATGCAATGAATAATTTTAATTAAATGAATATAATTGTCTTATTCTCATGGGAAATCATAAATTTTTAATTTGAATAGCATGATCATTACTATAAAAATCACTACAAAATAATTGCTACAGTTGTTTTGCATAGTAATAGAATTATTACATTAATATGATATAATAGTGTAACTTTTAGCTATAAAATTTAATTTTTGTCAACAGTAGGACCAGCTCCTCCTATTGCATTAATGGATATACCAGATGATAGACCAAAAGTATCTGAATTGGTAGAGTTTCATGAGTTATTGATCAAAGGACAACTGGAGGAGTCTCTACCACTGCTTGATGCTGATACTATAAGAAAGATTAGAAATGCTGCTAGTGATCATGAAGGAATGTCTCTTCTTAGAAAAGCATTTGAAGAACATCCAACACTGCTGTATGAAATGAGAGTAGCTACTGGAAAAATAAAAGGTATAAATCTTAATTCAAAAATGTATTAACTAGCTAACATAATCTGTGTAATAATTCAAGCAATATACAGTGTTAATAGCAATTAATATTAATAGGTTCATCACAAAAGATGCTTGATTGTCGTGCCTCCACAAGCACCTAAACCAAGTCAATCTCAAGATTCATCATCAGCTCCACATGATCCAACAGCAACAGTACTGCAAGATAAGGAGGGGAAGAAAGATGCATCATCATTCAAGCCAATGGAAGGATCAATGTCACCAGAATACATTATAATGAAAGAGATGTTAGCTGATCTTGTTGATCTATTGGCAGGAAATGCTCCAGTTATTTCTCAATTAAATAATCATCTCTTTTCATCTGATCTCATTCCTAAAGCAGTACATGTTACTGTTGGAACCACTGGACTCACTCCTTATGATAGAGCTAATAAAATATTCCCTTCAGTACTAGCAACACTTGAGTGTCATCCTAATCCTAACAGTGTGTTCTCTTCTCTCATTACATCACTACAGAAAGTAGGACTAAAGAACATGGCATCTAAACTAATGGAAAATTTATTAAGTAAGATAAAATAATTTATACCCTATTTAAATACTTATTTTTGTATAACAGAAATGAAAGGTAGTTATGTTGATCCTAATCCAGAGCAGAAACCATCAGTCAGTAAGGGACCACTTCAACCAGTGGATGTCACTGCACAATCTCACACACCACAACCAACAATCACTGGATCACAATCATCTACTCCTACTACTGTCATTGAGCTCAGTTCAAAGAGTGAAGTTGCTGCCAATATGAAAAGTCTTCATTCTCGTTTTGCATCTCTCAATGTTAAAATGAGAGGTGAAATTGTGAAAATTGTGCAAAAAGGTGAAGTTGAGCTCATAGATATAGCTAGGAGTGCAGCTGCTTATTTAAGCATTGAAGTATCCAGTTTAAAGTATGGCAATGTTGATGAATTATTTGATTCTCTTCAGCCTCATTATGATTTCTTTAACTGTGATGGTGTACTTAAACACTTGACAGACACTTACCTTTCAAATGCACAAACTGAACTAACTCAATACATTGATAGTGTTGATGAATTCTCAGAATCATCACAATTGAAGCACATACGATCAGTTATTGATAAAGAAGTTCGACTTTTAGATTTGTCAACCACTAAGCCAATTGTTATCAAACTAAATGGACGATGGGACGAAATGACAATTAAGAACTTTAAAAGTGTTCTTCAATATTACTTTGAGCCAGAAATCGAAAACCTTTTCAGTCACATTTCCATCAAGAAAGGCTCAGTCATTATTACACTGTTAATGCCAACCTCACTATCACAGTCTCTTATTGATGCTATCAATAACAAAACAAACTCAATAAGTAGATTAGGAATATTGGAAGTTGCTGTTGACAATAAAGTGATTCCTATCAGAAGAAAAGACGATAACAATTTTGATGTTTCACTCCATGAATCAGTTAAAGCTGGTAATAGTTTTGAAGTATCAATGCTACTGCAGTTAGGAGCTGATCCTAACAGTAAAGATGAGAGAGGAAAGAGTGCAGTAGAGATAGCTAAACAAGGAGGACACACTCAAATAAAAGAAATACTATTAACTGCTGGAGGTGAGTTATTTAATACTAATATTAATACACACACATAATATACCATTAATACAGTAAACCCTCTATTAACAAACACTCTCTATAGTGCACACCTCCTAATGGACAGCACCTAGTGTACCAATTACATAAAATAAACTCCACATAAAGGACACCTCTGTATAACAGAGCAACATAACATTGTATAGACAAGAACAAGTGATTGAGTGTAGCAATAAAAGTTTTTATAAGAAAAAGAATCACAAAAACGGCAAAATGCTGCCAAAAATTGTAAAAATATAGGAATTATAAGTTATTATACACTAGGATCATTGTACGCCCTCTAATAAAAAAATTAAAAGAAAAATGAAAAAATTTACTACCAGATCCATGTATAATAGCATATGCTTACAATAGCTTGTGCTTTGAAGTTCTGTTGTCCACAGAATTATATACTGGAATAATGGACCAAGGACTAGAGAGAGAGAGAGAGAGGGACAATAATTATTGATTCCAATACATTAATAAAATGTACAATTGATTTTTGTTTACTATCACATGATAAAAGATAGACCACACCCATTCCATTCTAGCAGCTGTAATGACTTACTGGTACAAAAACCAGCATCACCTGGAACAACACACAAACAAACATCATTAATAAATAATATAATATTATCATTTTACCTATTACAGTGGAACTCCGCTTAATGGACACCCCTTAGCAATGGACACCTCACTGCAGCGGACACTAACCTTAGTCCAGAACACAGGGGTAGTCTGTTTATTAGGCAGAAAACCCCTGCAAAACGGACACCCCGTTTAACCATACAATGGACAGTGGTTTTCTGTCCATAACACGTGGGACACTACAAATTAACCCCTTACTAATGGACAGTGACATTATCTCTATAAATATTATTATAATTATCATGACAAAAATTATGCATGTAATTAGAACAGTACCATACATGTATATATAGATGTAAAACCATTATGAAAACTCTAATATCTATGATGATTGATGAAACTATAGCATCTGGGTTCTCTCGAAGAACTGTCTCCAAACAATCTACGTGTATGTACAGCTTGGGGCCATAGAAACAATAAATGTAAGGAATCTCAAGGCCATATCCTCCACCACGATTCACCCTTGGACCAGCAACTTCTGCAAATCCCACATTAGTGTCTCTGCTTAAGTTTTTTGATTGGATAATATACATATATTATTTGAAATAGTGAACTTCTTAAGAAAGGACACCCCTTTTAAAAGGACACTTGACCTTGTCCCAATGGTGTCCGCTTAATAGGGGTTCCACTGTATACTGTATTAAAATAATAATATACACACATTATAACTGACTGACTGACTGTGTTTATTATTAGGAGAAGAGACTGGAAAGGTGAAGTGGACCAGTTATAAAGTATCCCTCACTAAACCATCAGCAGGTCAATGTCAGGAAGTGATCAGTCAATTAACAGACAGTCATCAGTACATTCACCTCCATCACTCATCACCTGATATTGTATACCTATTGATGTCACTAGTACTGAACATAAGAACGATAAAGTGGATTAGTATATTTAACGCTAAAATAACAAAAGATGTTATCCTCTTTCTGTCACACAAAATAACAAACAATACTTCATTAGACGTACTATGGATCAGTGATGATTCCATCAATGATGATGGAGTCATTGCACTAACACAATCATTAATTAATAATAAAACAATTATTAAGTTACTTCTTAATCACAATCCTGATATCACTTCAACCAGCGCTCAGTCACTAGCTGAACTTTTACTCTACAACCACACACTATCTGTCCTTTCTCTCGACGGTACTAACATTGATACTGATGGAGTACTGGTACTGATGGAATCTCTCAGGACCAATAATACACTAAGGAGACTATGGCTAGACAATAAACATAAACAAACTTGTTCTTCTTTACCTTATTATAAAACTATTGAAAACAGATTGGACTTTGCGTAATTACATGTATTTCATATACATACACGTATTAGTTTATTTATAAACAATTTATACTATTAAAAGGACAAAATAATTTTAAAATATATGAATATAGATGAGTAAATGAAAGGGATTGGAAACTTCTGTTGCGTGGGCGGATTATTCCATTAAGATTATTAGGTTGCCTAACAACATAGGCAAGTTACCCTTCCTGGTCCTTTTCCTTCACTGTTCAGTGTCCTATTTCAACTCATAACTCTAAAGTGACTTGTGTTTATCCTCTACAATGATAATTAAAGGCATTACAGATACATGTACCTTCCTTACAGTTTGTCTAATTTTTGAAGTAAAATAATATTGATAACTATGAGTAAAGTTTGATTTAGTGACCTGATACCTTCAATATTGTGGTTTTGTACCCTTTTTTAGAATACAAAAGAAGTAATACCAGAATTAACTATTACCAACTATTCTATACATTATTATGGAGGGCACGCAACATAAATGACTCTGATAACAGATTTGGTGACTGATTTATAATCAATTCAAAGTTTTTGCAAAGACCTTCGTTTTGTACCTTTTTTTTACATAAACACAATTTGAGAAAAACCATTAAGAAGTTGTAGTATTCCATAATGTTTGATAATTTTCCTAATAAATCCTATTGTAAAATTGAAAAAATTCCTATAAATAGAGAAATTATCATGGTATGGGTAACTAGCATTTCCTGCCGCAAACGGAAGTTTCCAATCCCTTTCATTTACTCTAATATCTATGATATGAGCCTCCAAATTGCCACACCCCTCATGGCAAGAACACACGTACATTATTCACATGAGGGAAAGAGAGAGAGAGAGAAATGAAAGAAGAAAAATAGGGTAAAAGAGATATATTCCATTTGTCTCAGCAAGTTAGTAACCACAATTGCATGCAAAGCTAGATTTACAGTTAAGGTAACAGTCAAAATTGCATGGGTGATCTGACTTTTTCATACAAAAAGCTTTGAATTTGACAC